TCTTTTTATTCTGCCCTTGTAACTCAACCCCTGTAGAGAAAATGATTAAATAGCACTTTTACCCTTTGGAAATACTATTAGATTTTGAGTCTGGTGTTATTTGTTGAATGTTTTAGTTTCAGGGTTCGTTATGGTGAATTTTGTAAAGGCATTTGCTGAACCGAGTAAATTTTAAAATATGGTAAAACCTAAGAGAGAGTATTTCAGTTCTTTATACTTATTTGAGCTTTGAAAATACTATTAAACTATGAAAAATAAGAGACTCAAATTTTTGGAAATGAAAGTGGCAAACACATGAGATACTATGTGATCAGACTTTTTTTTATAAAGAATAAAATTCTCAGGGCACCTGGGTGGCTCAGTCAGTTGGGCGTCTGCCTTCGGCTCCAGTCATGATCCTGGGATCGAGCCCCGTGTTGGGCTCCCTGTTTCTCCCTCTGCCCCTCCCCACTGCTCGTGCTCTCTCTCACTCTCTCTCTGTCTCTCAAAAATAAATAAAATCTTTAAAAAAAAATAAAATTCTCTCTAGTTGCAGCAAGGGCTTCCTTGAAGAAGCAGATTTTAGTCATTCCTTGATTTTCTGAGTGTTGGTTGGGTCCGACTCTGCACGTGGATGGTCATGGTGGATGAGACAGGACTTCTGCATGCCGAGCCCATAATTGTAGAGATGATGTCTGTACAGAAATAACTGCATTACATGAAGTTTTATAACAACAATAAGAGTTAAGCACTATAGGAGTTTAGATAAGGGGAGATCGCCTATTGGGTGTCAAAGGTGTACTTGAAAACTGTTCCACACTGATCATTGTCATTTCCGTTTCTAATAGAGTTTGGAGAGTGACCAGAACTTAAAACACCTGCTTAACCTATGCCTTTCATTTGGTTAACTGAGAGAGTGACATAATGGTTAAGAGTAAAATATCTGCCGTGTCCTCAGTAAGTGTTACCCATCATCCTGCGAAACTCAGGCCCGTCCTTGCTCCTCCAGAAAGCCTTTGCTACAAACCAAGGTGTACGCGTTGCTCCCTCTTTATTCCTCGAGAAGCCTCAGCCTGTCGTTACCAGAGCACCCATCTGTAAGATCGATTTCTAATTGTCTCTCCCACTGGAGTCCCTTGAGGTTATGAGACATGCATATTCCAAACCTAGCATTACTCCTAATGTCTAAGGCTCATAAATTTTTGTTGAATGAATGATTGAACACAACAAAGACTACAGTCGGTATAAGAAAATGGGTACAAAGTTGATAACAGTGATGGAGAGAAATGGATGAATTCAGGATCTGTTTTGAGATAGAAGTGACAGGGTTTCTTGATGCATTGGATCTGAAAAATGAAGGAACGGATAAAGCATACTTGAGGAAGTTGGTGATGCCGTTAACGATACGCAGGAGACTAGAGAAGAGTAGGCTGTCTCGCACATGCTGTTTGAGAAGTCTGCTCCGCTGGAATAGAGATCTCAAACACGCAGTTGCATGGGAGTCTGGAGCTCAGAGAGATCAAGTTAGGAAATATAAATCCAGAAGTCCGCGTATAGTTGATATTTAAGGCTACATAGCTGGGTGAAATTGCCTTGTGAGAGAATGTGAGTGAAGGAGAGAGAGAGAGAGAGAGAACCCAAAACCAGTCTTGCCATGAGCACTCCAGTGCCGTGGTCTGGGAGAGGCGGAGGGGCTAGCAAAAGAATCCAAGAGAGCAGGAAAAACTAGAGGGAACTTTCTCAAGGGATTGCCAGTGGGGTCAAATGCTGCTCAGGGATTCAGATGAAAAGTGAGAAGTGATCATTGCATTTGGCAACAAAGTTGGTGACCTTGACCCTGCAGGGGTGGGGTCTGGAAGCCAGGGTGGAATCCGCCCAAGACTGGGAAGTCAGGGAGTAGAAATCTGTAGGAGCTACATTTTTGAGTAGCCTCCTCCGGGGGTGGGCATCGTGTCTTTCACCATCACCAGATTATTTCATCAAATTCCAAACTGAACTCCTGCACTGTTCCTCTTCCCAAGTGTTCCATTATTAATGGACTCACGTTCCTCCAGGGGTCCAGACTGGAACCTCCACGGTGAATGTCCTCCCCTCCTTCTTCTGGTGATCCCCATGGGATCAGTTGCCGGGACTCTCGAGTCTTCTCCATAGCATTTTGCAAACCAGACCCCTCCTGTTCATCGCCCTTGCCACTTAAGTTGCTCTTCCCAGGCACTAATTAGCTCTTCTTCAAACTCCTCTGTAGTTTCCTGAGTACTCCCTGCTTTTATTCTCCCCCTTGTTGGTAGATCTATCCATCACAGCTAGAATGTTCTTCCTGAAGCACAGCTTTGCTCCTGCTAGTCCGCTAAAAATAAAACCAGATTCTTTTAGCCTGGCACTCAGAACCCTCTACCTTTTTAACCTTGTCTCCCACACGTTTCTCTTCCTTCAGCCCATTGTTCTCAAGTGTTTGCTCTTGCCTAAATCTATAGCCTGCATCCTCTGACCTTTGTGCTTTCAGTCTCACTCACGTCTGCTTAGCAAGCCTGTCCCTCTCTTCTCTCCTGTCATCTGTACCTCCGGATGCTTATGATCCCTAATAAATGTGTGGTCCGCCCTAAAAACCGGGAAATTTCAAGGCTTTCAGTGCTGCTGCTTTACGGTATCCGTCCTTTCAGAGTTCCCTGACACTGATTTTTCCTTTACACCACGGTTCCCCTTCCCTTTGCTACCTCAGCCAGTGTTCCTTTTTAGGAAGTGGGGACAGGAATGATTTCCTGTCTGGAAGGAAGTTTCTCGGAGATCTTACTAACAGTGTGGGTCATGATATTCCATAGAGGACACCGACACAGGGCACCGCTAGGCTTCCCCCCATTTCCCAGACAACACCTTCCCATTGAGGTGACGGGGCAGCCCGAAGGTTGAGAGGTGAGCACCCACCTCCTAATGAGAGGCAGCTTTCCTCCATTGGGCAGCCACCCGTCAACGAAATAAATGATTTGTCTGGCTTTTAGTTATTGGGATTTGGGGATTTGGGGGTGGGAGTAGGGGAAACGTCTCCGAGATTGTTACTCTTGAGTTCCAGCTTTTTAAAAACAGAAGATGCCTTTTGGGAATTTTGCTCAGTGTTACACATTCTAAAAGACAGAAAGCCGGCATGCTCTAAAGCTCCTAATCAGAAAAGAATTACTCATTAGAATGTGGAACTGAGGGCTCTGTCATCCCTTCCACCTCTCAGGGGGCTTGGGGAATTGCTCCTGGGAGGGCATCCGTAGGAAGCACATTGAAGGTGTGTTTGCAGGATGTTCTCTGACAATCCATGTTGCCTCTCAGGTATTTTCAGTTTCATCCCATTATTGGAGGATAAAGTAAGTTTTAGGCACATTTAACTTGTACCTAATTAATCTTTCAAGAATGAAGTGGGACTGTTGGCTGAAGGGAAACAATTGCATTTTTTTTTTTTTTTAAGATGGAATTGAAAATAACGTTCTTTGTCTCAGTTAACGAACTATGTTACTGGAGCGCTGTTATGAGGAGTCGGTGTTTTGGAAAAAAGGAGTGAGGTGACCGTCTGATTTCAAAGCCTTCCTTTGGCTGTGACAGGAGTATTCCGTGCTTGGCCTTCCAGCAGGCACATTGCCCGTCCCCCCACCAGCTGGTGACTGCAGTCAACTATTTTGGAACATGAGGGGTATTGTAATTAGTGGTGTGGAAAACTGGCGAATTCAAAACAGCCCTCGATGTTTAGAAAAACCTAGAGTGCAAGTAAGAGATAAATGTCTCCTATTCTGAGTGGGATAACAAGCTTTTATTAAATAAACTCACCTCCTCAGTGGTACTTCTTATCAGTACCGATAAAGAGGGAAAATCTAGTTAAAAAATTAGGAAGGAAAACCTGAAAACAACTTACTTCTTTGTCAAAAATGTTTTGTCTTATGATTGTTCATCTATTTTCTGCTGCTGTACATTTCCTCAGAAACTTGGTGTCTCAGGATCCTTAATTGACACTGACAAAATGACAAACCAGAGCATGTCCTGGAGGCTTGGCCCTTTTGTGTCAGGATGAGCTGTGGACCCCAGTCTTTGATATGTGCTTTCCTCTTTCACTTAAAAGGGGAGATAACTCTTCTTATTCTGGATGATTATTAACCAAAGATCTCAAAAATCTGTTATTTAATATTGAGCCAATTGTTAAGTGCTTTTATAAATAGATTTTTATATATACGAGATGGTTCATAGCTGGTATTAAAATGCTTTTTGTGGGGTGCCTGGGTGGCTCAGTCGTTAAGCGTCTGCCTTTGGCTCAGGTCATGATCCCGGGGTCCTGGGATCCCCCCCCACATCGGGCTCCCTGCTCTGCAGGGAGCCTGCTTCTCTCTCTCCCACTCCCCCTGCTTGTGTTCCCTCTCTCACTGTGTTTTTTTCTGTCAAATAAATAAATAAAAATCTTTAAAAATTTTTTTTGCTTTTTTTAATAAGTTTTAATTGTTTAAATTCTGGTAGAATTTTTTTAAGCCATTAGTAAAGTAATAGCAGAAAAACTGAAAAATTGTGTTGGTAATTTTATTTGCTTTAGACTAATTGTATTGGTAATTTCAGTAAAGCATGTGGGAACATCCAGAAACACCACTCTGGGCTTTTAAAGTATATACCTTTTTATTGTAATCTAAGAGCAGTTTCCAATAGGAATAGATTATTTTAAAATTTACATTTTCTTCACAGAAAAACCCCAGACTCTTAAATACAGAGAACAACAAACTGGTGGTCACCAGAGGGGAGGGGAGTGGAGGGATGAGGGAAGAGGTACAGATCTCCAGTTAGAAAACAAGTAAGGCCCAGAGATGGAAAGTACAGCATAGGGAATATAGTCAGTAGTATTGTATTAATGTTGTTTGGTGACAGTTGGTGACGACATTTACTGTGGTGAGCACTGAGCAATGTATAGAATTGTTGAATCATTTATGTTGCACACCTGAAACTAATATAACACTATGTAATTATACTTCAAATAAATAAAATTTACATTTTTTTTTCTACAGGAAGGAACTCGAAACCTTCAAAGGTAATTTTGTGTTTAATTCTTCACTTTAAAGTAAATGAGAGTTAATTGATGTCAGATGTTCTCTCTTGATGATGAACTCATTCCTTTTTCTTTAAATCAGTTTACATCAAAAAAAAAGTTTGCTTAATCCTGTTTTTGTAAGTTTTATTTAATCACAACTGGTTTTGATATCCTCTGAGCTGTAACACATATACTAAGTGAAAGTTTCTGCTGATGACCATTGCAAGTAATATGTTAGGATGGCATAGTCCTAACTTTGAGGTTGTTGCGAATCCTAGTTTGAGAAGATTCTGGTTTCTCGTGTGCACAGTCTGGGCCATATGGAGAGGGCATGGTGATAAAGAAAGAGATGCCATCGATCCATCAGTCACCTGACCTTCCAAAAGGTGTTCGGTGCTGGGTCCTGCCCTGCCATTGCCTTGTAACTTTGGATAAGTCTCTCACCTTATTCAGGCTTGTTTTCTCCACCTGTAGAATGAGAAGCTCTGTGAACTATATTCTGAGATACCAAAAGCACCCCACATTGCCTTTTCATTTTAGGGACCTTTTGAAGGTGGGGCACTGGAAAAATAACTCCAGGTCGTGTTGACCCTTGCTGGTCAAGGAGCAGCACTAGTGCAAAATAGAGAAAACCACAAACTCTCCAGCAGCTCCGAGCCCTTCCAGCACGCTGTTTTTCAATTACTGATAAGCAATTACTCAGAGAAGTCATTGTTCTCTGACAGACTCATCCCAGTAACTAGGAGGGCTTTGAATTACTGCCTTTTATAGTACACATTAAACTAGTTTTATGCTTATTTCACATAGAAGCTAGTTTTGACCAAGATTTACTGAATGAGTAAAGATTGTCCCGTTTATCATTTACAGTTGAATTGTTTATGTGTATGGTCTGTTTAGATGTTTTGGGAAAATGACTAACCTTAAAGATAAAAGGTATAAAGGTATAAAGGCTATTCCTGCTGTGAACAGGCTTGTTTTGGCTGGATTTCTGTTTATCTGAGTACAGTTAGAGTAAAATGATTGAGTTTGTGGCTAGTTTGTTGAGGGTAATGTTAAGTGATCATGTGATAGAATGTGTTCTCATGGTTATCATTATTCCTAATCAATTTGTGCACCAGGACTCATGTATGTTATTTTCCATCCGTGGTTGAAAATAAGATTTGAAATCCTCATAAAATGTTCTTTTCCCTCTCATTCTTTCTTTTTTGTAGGCTAGCATCTTCTTATATAACATTAGGAGAAGGAAAAAAGCAATCAAGTTAATATTGAAAGACAGGCAGGGACACCCCCCCCCTTTTTTTTCAACTTCACTTCCATCTCAGTACTGGAGCCTTCCCCCCCCCTTTTTTTGGTATGACAGTATTCACAGTAAAAGAGACCAGCCATTTGTAAAAGGTTAGGTATTGTTACATATTACTCAAGAGAATAATTCAATTAATGCTGACATATCTCATTTATACACACGTGCCTAATTATGGTATGGCATGTAATGGCACATCCCACCCACCCGTAAGCCAAGTAAAGCTCTCACATTTGAACAAACTGTAAGTTGATTATTTCATCATATCAAAAGTTTTTAGTACAAATATTCATTGAAAATTCTTTCCTCCTGAGGGTTTTGCTAATATTTCAAAAGCATGAGTAAAAGAGAAATGTAACTGTTCTTTCAAGACATTCACCAAGGAAGGAGGAAAAAAGAAAGGAAAAAAATCATACAGATTTTAATAGTTTCTTATTGTTTGAATGTTGTCTTTGTTTTTCCGATATAGGTTACAGGAAAGCAAAAAATTTTTTTTGTCTAATTGTTTTATTCAACTCTTGTAGTTGTATTTGGAAGCTTTTTTTCTAAGTTGGTAAAAAGCTAACTTTGGAGAACAAAAACAAAATTAGTAACCCTCAAAGATAGTGGTACAGATCAGTACCATCCACGTTCTGGATTCTTCCTTCTGTACTCCATGGATATTTGTACATTCCCGGGTGCTGCCAATAGCACGGCTCTACAATATTATTGAAACTGGCTATTTATTGTTTGTCTTTTAAAATATTGGCAGCAGAGAGAGAGAGAGAGTTCCCTGAATATTTCTTTGTGTTTTGTTTGTTTAGAGAGAGAGAGAGAGCCGGTGGGCGTGGGGGGAGAGACAGAGGGAGAGAATCTTAAGTAGGCTTCCCGCTCAGTGCAGAGCCCGACTCGGGGCTCCATCTCACAACCCTGAGATCATGATCTGAGCTGAAATCAGAGTCAGATGCTTAACTAACTGAGCCACCCAGGCGCCCCTCCCCCGAATATTGCATTTTTAAGAAACTTTTAAATGATAGTCCCTTGAATATTAAACAATAGAAAAAGGAAGGTAGGATTTCAGAAATCTTAATTTTTATTTTCATTTGGGAAGGAATTCCATTATTGTAAGCATGTGTAGAGTAAATAAGCTTTTCACAGTGCTTAAGGACATAGGAAATTGGCCCTGAATAGACCTGTCTGTTCATTAGGCATTATTTATTGTTTTTCCATTTTAATTTTAAAAATAGATTGTCATTCCATGTATAAATCTAAAAATCACTCTTAAGATTTTTAAAGTATAAGTCTAGAAATATTATGCCACTGGATTGGATATTGCTTGTACCTCCATCATTCCTAACTTAACATGGCTTTGCTATGCAGACTCAGTCTGTCTTCACTTAAGCGCCTCACCAAATTAACCATCGTTCTCCGTAAGATATACCGACTGATCCCCGGAGCACGCTGAATACTCAAGGCCGAGAGGTGCTCCCCAGTGTACCCAAATACTTTTATTTCCACTACTTGCATTGAATGTTTACCCAGGGTGAGTTGTTTGCTCTCCAACTCATTTATAATTGTTATTATAATCTGCAGTTCAATTAAATATCAGAAAATGATGAAACCTCAGTGTTAAGGAGAACTGTTTGTAAGAAAACTAACTTGACAGCTTTGGAAGACTGGGTATAGGTAAAACAGGTAAACAGATTTTAAAATTGCTGCAAAAGGTAAAATTCAGAATTAGAAAAGAATTGGGAAAAAATAATAAAAATCCTGAAAGGTTCCATACATGGATTGTTTCAAACATCTTAAATTCCTGCTCTGCTTTTTCAAATAGACTGGAAATTTTATTCATGGTAGTATGGGTAGCTTATGCAAGAATTTTCAATCAGTGGATCTATGCTCAAAAAATTCACGAATAAAAGTATGGTTATATTTTATATTAAAGTGTTTGTACATGTGTTTTTAACGGATTCCTATATTAACTGCTTTTTTAAACATTAAATGACCGGTGCTCCTGAGTGGTGCAGTTGGTTGAACTTCCCTACTCTTCATTCCGCCTCAAGTCATGATCTCAGGGTTGTGAGATCAAGCCCTGCGTTGGGCTCTGGGCTCAGTGTGCAGTCTGCTTGAGATTCTCTCTCCCTCGCCTTCTGTCCCTCCCACTTGTGCTCTCTTTTTCTCTAAAATAAATAAATAAATCTTTAAAAAATTAAATGACCAACATGGGATCCAGTTGGGTCCTATAAGAGTATGTCCATTGTAATCTCTTTAACATAAAACTACCCAGCCGTGTCGGAAAGGTGACAGTGTGAAGACATGCCAGGATTCAGGAGTTACCACTATCACAGTGAGTGGATCATCATGAGAGGATGTGGGCAAAAGCAGCTAAGGCCAGCCTGATGCAGTGTGGTCACAGTTACGGTTCAGCTATGGAAAGCGAAGCCAAAGAAGGACATAGGACCGGAGTGGTCAGAGAAATGGAAGACCAAGACAATTTAGTGATAAGGAAGGACAGAGAGGAGAAAGTTTAAAGGAGAAGTGGTTACCAGTGATATAAGTAATGCAGAATGGGGAAATCCCATTGGATTTGACAGTGAACAGATTGTCAAATTGGTAACTGGTAATTGGAAAGAGCTATTTGTAAAGGGAGAATCCAGATTGCAAACCAGAAAATCAGAAGTGTATGAGAAGTTAGCATACAAAGGTGATGTGAACTCAGTATTCTTTCAAGAATGAAAGGAAAGAAATGAAAAAGTAACATGAGATAGAATCAGGGTTAAGGTCAGGGGAGAGGGTGAAATTGAAGATATTAAGGAGTTGAGTAAGATCCTGGAGAAGATGGAAAGCAGTGATATCCAGATGAATTATCCCTTGGAAAGGATCCAGGGACATCTCTTTCCCTGAAACCTTAGAGAAGGAAAGATGCCTGGTAATATGGGGAAAAGTTGACATGGAGGGAAGAAACAATTTTTTGAGAATCCATTTAGAGTAAGATGGTCTGAATTTTGCAGGGCTAGGCCCAGAAGTAGAAATAAAAACTGAAGCAAATATGCTTTAGTTAACACAGAGTTGGGAATTGGGAGGACGCATATAGTGGATCAGCAGTGTGGTAATCTTGGAAGCCAGTGAGAACATGGTTAAAATGCCCGGCCATGGAATTCAGGCTGGCAGGGAGAGGCCTGACTAGACCAGGAAAATAAGCAAGCTATGAGGCACGGGGGATGGTGTGCACCATAAAGATGGAGAGCACAGCAATGGTTGAGGTAGATCTTGGGATCAAAGACGGATGTTTGAAATCTTAGAGGCGGAACAGTTCCCAGTGATGATGATCGCAAAATTTGAGTAAAAATAGAAGTCATAAAATTGTAGAGGTTATCTGTATCAGAGATCTGACGCCCCTGGGGGTCTCACGTGTTTGGATGACTCTTGGATGTGAACTGTAGATATTTCTGGCTTGGCAGCCTTAGCATGCTATAAATCTGGATGTATGGTAGATGGTAAACTTGGGTAGAGTTTGTAGATACCACCCAAGAGTTAGCTTAACATGTAAGGTACGACTGTCCAGCTGCCATTTGGCAATATTGAAGTGATGGAGACTCAGGTTGGATCATATAACTGCCCTCTGTCCTCAAGGAGCTAAAGCACTGTGATAAAGCTTGTAGGATAAAAAGGCAAATACCTACGTTTAATGTAATATAAGAAATATTATAATAGAAATAAG